AATGGGAAGGATGAGTGGGATTGGATGAGTCCTGCAAAACCTGGGTCCAAAAATGGGAAAACTATTTTGATCATTTGCAAACATGTGCTGCTGGATTTGGGGGGAGGGGGAATGATTTTATATTAAAAAACAAAACAAAAAACTTCTGTTTCAAGCAAGGAGAATCCGCTCCACGTCATAGAAACAAACCGTTCACTCATTCCCATCACTCTCGTGAGTTTGTGACACATTTAAGCCACTCGGAGACTGTAGTGAGTATTTTCTACTCAATAACGTCGCTGCATGGTTTCACATCTTGTTTAAACTAACCCATAATCCAAAAATCCCAAAAAGGTTTTTACTGTAAATGCACTGTAACATGTGGGAGTGCCGAGTTCGCGGCGAGCGATAAAGCTCCGGGACCGGACCAGCTGCACTACCAAATTTGGTCGTCCACTTGACGAGAGGACATCAAAACGCCTCTTCATCACCGCCTCAGACTAGATCCCCCTCAACAGACAGGAGAAACTGAAGGAGACGAACCAGCTCAGCGCGAGGGAAGACAACGTAGACGAGGAACTGCAGTCGCTGGGAACATTTAAGGCTCAAAGCCCCGTGGGAAGGTTCCCATAGTGACCAATTAGAAAACCTCCTACGTCATCGTAATAGTGACCCTGCTCACCACTCATTGGTGGAGGGAATAAGGGCACAGGAATGGAATCATCCACTTTCACAGGCAATGAGGATAGTTTAGCACAAGAAGACCCATCAATTATTACAGCCTTTTAAATTAAACCCATAATTACATGTTGGTAATCACCATCATGACAAACCCATTTATCCTGGTAATAATGACTATTACATTTCAAAGAACAAATCATAAATTACAATAATAATAACAACAACAACAACAACAGGGATGCAGCGATCTGATACTATTGTTTGATTAATAACAGCGTAATGTTTGCCTCACTGTGTGGAAGAGACTGAGATCATTCTTTGACGTGTAAGGCAGCTTCAGGCTTGACTTAAACATTGCTTTCCTAACTATGTGAAACAAAATGTAACAAACTAATAATTAGACAAATGTAATGAATTGTTAGTGTACAATTTATTATTGTAATTAAACTTAACAACTTAGTAACATATCTTGGGATATAAACCTCTTTCTCCAACATGAACACAGGAATATATCGGTTTTATCTGTTCCCTAGAGGGAGGAACAAATGTCAGTCTGCATATATTTAAAGTGATGACACCTCATCAGCTTGTAGAGACCCAAGAAGTTCTCACCTCCCATCTCCTTTCCTTCCTCATACCAACTATGGTTGAAGCCCCGACTCCATGTCAAATTATAAGCCCCGCCTCTTGCCATGACTAAACCACACCAATCCAATAAGGTCCTTTGGCTTTGAATTATAGCCCAGGTTACACAGTACACAACTATTCATCATGGGGGGGGGGTCCAGTGGATCTTAAGAGGCCTTAAGAGGCTGTATATTTTCTCTCACAGTGACGGAGACTCCCCGATGTGCTAGCACGTAGTCTGCAGCCCTCTGGGACCTTTCACACGTTCCTCCACCCCCCAAAGGACTCATCCACTCCTTATGAAAGCAAAAATCTGATCAAAACCGTGACATATACAAACACGCATGACATATCCTCTCTGTGTTCGAATAATTAAGCCTTTACATTGTCAAAGGAATGAGCAAAGAGCGGATCAGACAGTCAGCAGAGGACGGGCAGAGACAATAGACAGACTATCCGATACTCCAAACACGAGAGAGGAAACCTGGCCATGTGGCCATCTGGAGCACGAATTATTTATCAAGTTAAATCTGTTCCCTTTCTCAACATTACATCCCATCGTGCTGTCTCTGACCACATCAATGGTTGAGATAAAACCATATGTCACAAGAACAGAGGAGATCTGTTCCATACAGCCTGAGAGCACTAATCAGGGGACGAGAAAGAAAGTTTCTTATGCGCAGAATGTTGTTGCTACAAGGGGTCGAGGCTTTGGCAACAGACTAAGAACATCTAGTCCGGTAAAGAAATGCACGGTAAAAACAAAGGCAACCCAAAAGCAAAGAATTGGCACTGCAATAACAACCAGTTGACTCACTTTGGTCTCTCGAGTATGGCGAAGTTTAATTATGAGTCCAAACAGTGAATGAATGGCTCAACTCAAAACTAAGAACCCTCGCTGTGAAGACTCTAGATTCAGCAGAAGTAGCCCACTGCCACATTAACAAGCTACATGAAACCAAAAGCCTTTTTTGACAGAGTGTCTTACGGTAATGCGTATTTCATTCTACACGACTTTAGCCTTTTTTCCCCCACCTGCCGACAGTTTTCAGAGCTCCCCCGACGAAAGCCCTCAGATCAGAGACAAATCCGTGTCGGCTCAGTGCTCGCAAATCAGTGCTCGAGCGCTACGCGTGAACTGTTCAGTAGAAGTGAGCCAAGAGGCTCGCCGACACATCGCAGACACCTTCCAGATATCTAGCATGCTAAACATCTGGACCTGTCGGGGAGGCTGGGAGGGAGCTTCTGCCGATGAGAGCGCAACACGCGGGTTCAGGGGAAACCTGGTGGAGGGGTTTGCCTGTAACAACACCTGTATGTGTTGTTGTTGAACCTACAATCTAAACGTAGTCATCACGGACTCCTTCCGGTGAATGATCTTGTAGTGTGCGACCCTCTCGCCGGTTAGTCATATAGTGTGATAAACCACGACGACTTATGGACTTACAAGATAGCAAGTTGAGTCTCACTTACCGCAGCAATCTTAGCTTAAATATAGAAAAATTTGAATGCACCAAAGACCACCATATTGACACATCATCTAAAAATATTTTCTCTGAGACGAGACTGCTCTATGTGACCACTACATGGATCATTTCCCGCTAAGCTGGCAGCTCAGAGTTATGCCACTGATGCATAAAGGTGTGTCATTTGATGCTCAGAACAGACAGACAAAAGCAAACGGTGGTCAATGATACCTCACCCACAGTGCTGCAGCAAAACAAACTGTTTATGCAACACAGCAAAACACTGAACTGTGACAAGTAAGCAATCAATGTAGGAAAATGTTTCAGAAGGAAATCTTTGCCGGACTGCAAGAATGCTTACAGTGTATCCAAAAAATAATGACTGAAAAAACAATATTAACACAAAGCAAGACCCATAACCGCAGTAATTGACACACAGAGTTCCACTAACTGCTTAAAAACAATTGCTCAGACGGAGCAGCTGAGCTTGTGATGGCAAAATCATCGCAGCTCTAAATCTGAAAGTACCCAAAGGATATAAACCATACGTCTGGTCTGACAAGACACTTTTGCAGCCTGGCATTACACTCATAAATCATCAACCGTCACAGTAAATCAAATGGCCGTAACTGTGTACATAAAGCATGTAGGCCTGCTTGTTTGATTCAGCGACTGTACCGCTAACAAGCCTGAGTCGGCAGGTTGAACGATCTATACGACTCTGAACGCGAGATAATAGTTGTGCAGCAGCTGCGGTATAAACTACGGTCACTATAAGCTTTGATGACAAAAAATTATAATGCAGATTATGGTTTTGACCCAACTGATGCCTCAAGTCTTAAAAAAAAAAAAAAGAAAGAAAGAAAGACTACTATCTTAAAATATAACTATCCAAGAATAACAAATCAATGCTGCACTTAATTTCTTAAAATCACATCAATATGAGAATTAACAGGAAGATTTTATTTTAGTTAACTCAAGTTAGACTGAAAAAGTATATTATTTAAGTACATTTATGCCACAGAGTGACACGTCGACTCTGAAAGGCATCGGAACAACAGTGAGTAAATCCACAACAAGATTATAAACACGATAAAAAAATCTTTTCTGCAACTCTACTCCACTAACCGTTGCTTTGGGACAAAGAAAAGATGAAGAAATTCTTTTATAGGAAGCTACATAATGAACAGAGACAGGAAAAGAGAAAGACAACCAAAGATAGACAAGAAGAAGGACAGAAAGAGGCCCACTGAGAATGAGCAAGAAAACAAGAGAAATGGGGAGCAGTGACGCAAGAGCCAAAAACATATGTGGCCCTATTCAAGTTGAGGTTAGCAAAGAAAAAAATGAGTTTGGGAAACAGATTGTGCCTCTGCTCTTGTATTGCAAAACTGCTTCACTGACTTGGTGCCGCCATTACTCTGAAATTGTCAAGAGGGATGAACAGGATGAGGGATCAGCTGCGTGTGTGTACGTCATAACACTGTTCATGGTGTTTACATCTGTACGTCTCCTACAGTCACTAAAAGCATCAGTGTGTTGAAGTACAGCCATCAATTCATCAGCTCTTCAAGGTATGCTGTATGTCAGCGACTTATCAGATGAACATATTTAAATAATATAAAGGCCCTGCACGTGCAGTTGGCGCCATGTCCAAAAAAAATTGGAAGTGTGAGGCTGCACAGAGGCGCGATGACACCACTTTCGGCGCACACACTCGTGCTTCGGACACTACGTTGATCATAAACAACTCTCAAAGGTAATCCATATTATCCATAGTCAGTGTATTACCTACAATGTGCTGCTGTGGACAAGGTCAGCAGCAAAAGATGATGACCTTTATCTGTGAGCTATATTTAGAATATTTTTACCACTTTATCTTGTCAGACAGCCCTCTCCAACAAGGAAATGAACTGAATGTTATGTCTCCATACAGTGTCACTTTCAGTTCCGTTCCCAGATAAATATTCTAAACATAGCAGACATTTAAACTGGTATTGATTTTTAAAGGTGAGCCTTTGCTAAAATATGTCCCCCGTCCACAGTTGTATCTTGCTTTGCTCCTTTGTTGGTACTCCCGTCTTCAAAACTGACCGACCGCTATCTACTGTAGGTAATACACAGACTATGGATAAGTACCTCGTACAGACCCACTTCAAGTAATCCAAGCTATGCCATTAATACTTTGAACCGTACCTGCCACCTCCACGATGTCTCCGGGCATAATGTCCCTGGCCTTGATTCTCTGGACACTCTTCCTGTCCTGGCGGTACACCTTCCCCATCTCTGGCTCATATTCCTTGAGCGCTTCAATGGCATTTTCTGCATTTCGCTCCTAAACAGTGGAAATAGGAGGAAAATAAATTTTAAAAAAAGTACATTTCACACAAACACTGAGCACTTCACAAGAGCTGGATGAAGACACAGCGAAGTCTCAGATATGCTGTTTTAGTTAGAACACCATTATTCAAAATGGATTAGTATCAAATCTTTACATCAGCAAAGCGACAAATACAAAATATACTAAGTGCACATGATGAGTGATCTAGGATAGACAGCGGAGCATAATTATGCCAACACTGGGACGTGATGTAAAAGGCTGGGGGGAAAAAATATGAAAGAAAGCTTTTGCCGAGGTCACATGGTTTTCTTTTCTCAGATGTCAAACAATACACCTAAGACTTACCCTAACAATGGAGATTTTCTATTCCAAAACACATGTGATCACGCATGCGAGTGCAATAAATTCTTAAGTTTCCCCCAAATGCTCTCTTATTGCTGGCTCAGTTGGTTCCCGATCCTTCTTCTCTTGCACTTTTCCGTTAGTGCTGACGTCACCGTGTCTGACACATCGCTCTCAGACCGGACAGTTTTAGTGACAGCCTTCAGGCAGGCAGCACTCAACGAGACATGACAAGCCAGGGCACACACAACCCCTTTTCTAAAGAATAGCAACAGACACACACACGCACAGTCATTAAAATTGCCAGTAACGGTGAGGGTCTACAAGGTTAAAAGAAAGCTACAAACAAAAGAAAAGCATACAAAACATTCAACTGCTCTGTATTCAGAGGGAAACTATCCAAAGCAGCACCAGCGGGTACAGCCTCCTCCACCTCTACATCATTCAGAGGCTTTGTTTACATGAACAAAGTCAACCAGCCACTTACTGCAACAACTCCCATTTACACACAAGCCTCAGCAGGACCTTCAACACGCATTTCATTCACAAGACAATCCAGCAGAGACCCACCCAACCTGTCAGGTGTCCTCTTTGGCATCGTGTGGTGTGACTTACAATCATGGGGATTGTTCTGCAAATGAAGTTATTAGACATTTAGACACTTGCACCTGCAGAAACACACTTTTGATCTATGACAAGAGCGAGAAAAATAGCCTTGCTCAAGACCTGGAGTCAATGATATTCCACACTGCGAGAAGTTTTCTCAATTTCTAGATGTTACCCACAGATTATGAGTCAGGGGTTCCCCAACTTGTTCCCGGACCATCTATGAATTTGTATGAGACATGCAAGGTCTTATATTGTATTAATTAGCTCCACAGATGTGTTTCTTCATGCCTCGTTGTCGATCTTGTCAATTAAATCTGTTTTCGTGTGTCTGGGGTGCTTTTATCTACACTATTAGCCACAAGCAGGTGCAAGGAGTTGGTGTATGCATCTATCGTAACTGACTCCAGGGTAATCTACCGTATTCTGGTCAATTCTAAACGTGATCCAAAAGGTGTCAGTGAAAAAATATAACGGATAATAGGTTTTTCTGTGTGTCCAGATGAGTGCCCCCCCCCCCATCCATGACCATTGCTGCCTTTTCTTCCTGCCTATAATTAAAGTGTATGTTGACCAATCAATAATACTGCGTCTCAAAGGAACGGCCACCGTAAATCCCGGGAAAAGCCAAGCCCCTGCTGGCACAGATAAATATAGAGGAGGAAAAAAAAAACTTCTCACAAGCACCATTAAAAACCATCGCATTGGTTGTGTTGTTTCACTGTTGAAGACTAAATGTTGTCCTGCTCAGTCAAAGAGTTTCCCTGAAAGGATAGGTTGATAAATAAGGACCGGAATATACCAAGTGAAGAGGAAGTGGGGCAGGCCAGGTTTCCACAGTGTGACTGAGACAAGAAGTGTATGAGATTGATGTAGTTTTTCCCCCACTGAGGGTCCAATAAGATATGTACTGTATCCTTGGCCTGAATGACAAATGTTGTCAAATTCATGGCCAGATAAAAATGTAATTATAAGCTTATCCAGTCCATTCTGTAATAATATGCTTTTTAGTAAAAGAAAATGGAGTTTGGAAGAGCTCATGTAACTCTCCACTGTTAGGTTATCATTTGAAATTAGCAAAAAATAAGCTATTGTCACCACTTTCGAGGCCACTATTTATGAACTCATAGTGATGTGAAATTGTAAATGCAATCCGTTTACCTGCCAGACTCCTACAATGGCATTTGCTATGAGAATAAGCAGGATGACAAAAGGCTCCACAAAGGCTGTCACGGTTTCTTCTCCCTCTTCAAACCAGGCCAGCACCTAAACACACAAAACAGAGAAAAAAAACAATGAAAAGTAAGGAAATACACTAAAACAGTTAATACTGAAGTGTGAGACACAGACCATTTAAGTCCAGCCGGGTTAACATTAGCTACACCCCTAAAGGACAGAAATAAAGACTGGACATTGCTGGACAACGGTAATTATGAGCTTTGTTTTAGGATCTCCTCCCAGAGTCTTTTCCACGCACCTTCCTAGTAATTGGAGTTGTGCCAGAACCTCACTTTGACTTTTACACATTTGGCACAATGATTTTAAGTATCTAACAATCATTTAATAATTCATAATAAATACCACGCCAGCTTCTGCCAGTATTGCAGAAACTGGGCCAAGAAAGCCACGTGAGCGAAAGAGTGTAGTAACCACTCTCTCCTCTTTTAGAATCGGCGCCAGGAGTGAAGTGTGTCAAACGAAATGACAATGCCCCCCTTATTTCCTACTCCCAACTCATTTAAGCACGGCCAATCAAACAGCAAATTCAGTTCTACGTGTCTGTTTGTAGTCTAAATGTTGTCCTGCTAAAATAAATGTGCATTTATCTGCAGGTGCTTCTGTGATTGAGAGCGAGTCTCGTGCTACAGCTGGTGATTTATAAGCTTTGGAACCATAGCTGGCTGTCAGCGCCATTCTGAGCCAGTAGGCCAACAGCCAACCCTAGAACAAAAAGGGCCGTATGATAGTTAACCTCACACTGTGTCACACACAAACTACAGTGGGGACTGTCACTCACTGGTGACAGCAACACAAGTTATTTCTGTTCATTTATGGAACCGTCATCCTGTATTCACACCGGCAACGTGAAAACTGGACATCAAAGTAACGTTGAGCATTGTGATAAGAGTTTAAGTCATCACTAGAGTGTGGTGGTATGTTAACGACAAACAATTCAATCATCGGAGAGACAGACGGACTTCTCAGGTGTCTGTCCCTTTCGATCTTTAACAGCCAAACACAGATCATGTAGGATATTCCAACAACGTACCACATAAACTAATCAAGTTACATAGCCATCTGTTCCAAGATGAACAAAGTGTCAGCATTTCTTTTTAAATTACAGATTTCTTGATAATTGATGCGGTAACATAATTTCTAGGAAGCAACAGGCTCAAAGATACTGCGATGACTTGATTTGGTACAAGAGAGAAAAAGCACAGCGGACATAAAATACCACAAGACAGAATCATGAAAATCATCTGGGTTGTGTCAGCGGACAGATTCTGGGCACCTTTCCGCTCCACTGTGAACATCATTCTTGCTAAACTGTGATCTGCACTAAATCAATCAGAAAAAGGTCTATAAACACTTTGTATGATCACCTAAATACCCAATCTAGGGTCCACTTATCTTGAGTTGAATGTTGAACGCACCCCTTTAAAACGAGGGACACGCCTGATCACAGTCTGTTATTACTACTAATCGCATACAAAAGAAGAAGTCAAATAGGAGGTTTTGTATTTGTTTTACTAATAATAATATGGGTTGAATCAACAGTGCACAAACCACCTGTACAGCTAACAAAACGTGTGTTACACTTACAAAGGATATGCAGGCAGCAAGTAGAAGGATCCTGACAAGCAGATCTTCAAACTGTTCAATCACTAGTTCCCAAAGGGATTTACCTAAAAAACAAGAGTTCAAAATGAATCATTGGGGGGGGAAAAAAAAAAAAAAAAAACATGAATGAGAGACTTAACATTTAGAGTTACAGGTTATTAATTGCATTTATTCACAATGGTTCACTCACCCTCCTCAGCTGGCAATTCTGCAGGTCATCCCATCCAGACCAGAAAAAAAAAAAGAAATGGAGAAGCTATTTATTTAAATTAGTCAGATGAAATATCATATCTATCTGTCTATATCTATATATCTATATCTATAAGTTACACCTATAGCCGTGACATTAGCGATGAAACAATACACAGATACATAGTATAAAGGAGGATAATGTGTTTATTTAGTGAGTCACAGAAGAGACGCTCGCCAATATTTCAACATACAGATCGTGACGTCAGCAACCTTTCCTTTTTGTTCGTCCGTTACAAACCGGGAGCCGTTACTGCCATAGCTGTACACATGACACCGGCACAGTAGAGTTAAAGCTACTTGGTTTTTTTTAAACAAACCGGTATTAACCAGCTCCTTACCGTTTGGTCCATATCGTTCCCGCTGTTTCTTCACTTGGTCTAAACTCAGACCCGTGCTTTCATTCACGTTAAAAAAGCTGTAAACTTCTTCCACCGTCTTCGTGTGTCCGTTGTCCATGATGGTGAATGGCCACTTGAGGACACCGGTTGTGTCGCCCTGCTGGTCCCGACCTCAACCTCTCAACGGTTCTCTCCTTTCTTTGGTGTCACCGCGGTGAATTAAACTGAATAATTAAAATATCAGAGCGGGATTCCACAGTGTTGGCTGTAACCGATTAATTAGCTATAACACGGGGCAGGTGCCTGTAGCGAGAGTGCACGAAAAATAGCGGCTCCCGAGCTATCGGATAGCTAACAGGCTAACAGCTAGCTAACTGTTGGGCTTCTTTAGGGTCCGCTTGAATTAGCCGGGTGTAGGTTTCCTGTGAGACCGTGTACGAAACACTCATATCAACATAGCATAGTCTCAATTCGATGTTATGTCTTCCTCTTCTTTCAAAACAGCGAATTCCAGAATAATTCTGTCCAAATAGATGGCTCAAACATGTGCCTCTGTTGCAGTAAGTCTGCCTGTACGTTGCGGAATCAGCAGCGTCGTCGTCGGTACCAATCGCGTTTGTCCGCTGCAGCTCTCGCGTGCGTCGAATGCGGTGTTCGGTGTCCGCATGTGGAATCAGCCCATTGGTTGGAAACACCGGAAATCCTACAGTCTCCTCGCTCCAAGCTCCACCTCCACGACAACGGAGCTTGGGATCAAGGCAGTTGACATTACATTTGTGTTTTTATATTTTCTACAACATTTCCAAAATATTTCTTAATATATTTTTGGGAAAAATATAATAACAGACACCAAAAAAATAAAAAGTCGTTCCCCCAAAGAAAGGCTTCCAGCACAAACCTTGATAATACTGTATATTAATTGTATTATCTCATAATTGCCAGTGGTTTTGGAGTTCCGTCAGACTGACAGAGCAACACAGTTAACCTTATCATTTGCTCCGTGGACTTTATCAAATTGTCAGAAAGAATTTATCGGTTAAAGTCATCCTAAAATTATCTTTGAAATGATACCATGGAGTGAAATTGGGCAGTGACATGTGTAGCCTTTTGCATTAGACATTATATGGTTTCTAGAAGAAGAAAAAAGACTTCATACTGTACATCGAAAGCAATCAGAAATACGTTATCCATATAGATTCTCAGTTGCCTGTAATGTTGACCTCATAGATAACAAAAGCAGTCCTTTAAAATCCCTAAAGATAACGATGTAGTTAATGTGTGGGATGGTTTCTGTCTTTTGCAGCCTACAGTATCTGCTGTCTATTTGAAAGACAAGTTATTTTAAGACTGTGATTAATGTGTGCTGCCACAATCAGACTCCTGCTCAATGAAAAGGAAAGACTAAATCTGTGCAGCTATAGTGACCACAGTTGGGACAGCCTAATACAAAATAAAATATGATGAAACCCAATCTGTAACTATTAAGAAAAAATGCTGTGAATGAGAGCCAGGCTGTCATAGATTTTTTGATTAATAATACCAATCAAGAAATACTTGCCGTAAAACATATACATACTGTATGTCTTAAAGGACAAGTTGGTTTTATGTCACTAGAGTAATATCAGTTGTTATGCTTTAATAACAAAAAACATACTGACGACATATAAGAATGCAGGACATTATACTTGAACTATACAGACTTCAGCCAAAATAGAGTCAGGTTTTTGAATACTCATTTTGTGTTGTATGTGGTGGCAGTACAGAGGCAATGTGTTGCCGTCCAATCCGGTCAAGGTTCGGCTGTGGCTGTTTTCTTGCAAGTAACGACTGTGGCCATCTCGCACTATAGGCGTTCAGGTGAGTGTGAGCTTAGCGGAAAGGTTTAGGTCTGTTTGGACTGCTTGCTTATGGTGGCTCACTGTGAGGCCAGTTCACTCTCTTTGGAGGCTGGAGAATCTTTCTTTTTAGTCAGATTTCTTTCTGTCAGACTTGAGATGAGACGTCTCAGGACACTGAGGTTAAAACAATGCAGGCTTTGTTTATGTCTGACTCCAGGGGATGGCTGAAAATGTCTGCTACTTTGCAAAAGATACGCTTCCCACAGGTATTCATGATCATCAAAGTTAAGAGACTCTTTTGTAGTTTGAACCTTATACTTGGGATTATTCTAAGACATCTGGGTGGAACATAAATTTACAATTACAGCGTGTCAAATGAAAAAGATTCTCGCTGCATTCAGTGATTTCACAGCTTTTCAATTTTGGGACTTGACACTCACCCATACCCTCCTGGCTACAGGCTATGTAAAGCAATCATAATTCAAGTAAATTATACTCCTGCGCTGTGCTTTTCATCAAGCAAAGCCTAATTAGCTGCATCACCAGTCTTAAAGAATCACTGTTTCGCATAAAGAATCACCAGCGTGCTGTGAGTATTTTGTTAGAAAATTTGGCACACGCCGGGTGAGTTGAGATTGTGTCAAACAGGGCCCTTTTCTCATTGCATGCCTATGTTTGGCTTCGTGTTTTCAGCAGAAAACTACTTGGTCACCTTATAAGGGGCTCTGAAAAAGTGCAAGTGGACATTATAAAGCCATCTCAGGATGAGAGGGTTAAATGCTGAGCCTCTTGACAACCACAATCCCTCATTGTAGTGGAGTCCTTGGGAAAGAGACACCTCTCTCCTCAGGGAACGCTGAATCCCATTGCAACTATAATTTGCCTTAAAGGTTTACTCACGAGCATTAGGTTTCATGAGCAAATTATGATGAGCCGCTAATGTGAATCAATAATGGAAAGACTTCTTCATATGGATTATGCCTTGTATCATGTAATTGGTTTCTACAAGAAACCCATATGTATCAATGCTCAAGTTATGTTAGTGATAATTATGACATGGTTACATGAGGAAAGGTGAGGGGGTGTCCTTGTAACAAGCAGCCAGTCTATACAGAAAGGAGGAAACAGTGGGTTTTACCCTATAACAAGATCAATTGTAATCTTACCTACATAAAAAGTATTAAGATTATGAATTATAAAGCTCAGTTGATGTTTGGCTCTGATTATTCAGTGATAGTTCCTGGAGCCCACCAAAGGAAACATCACATTTTGTCGATATTGACTTGATATTGTTCGATACCTCATGTTGTTTTTCATGTATAACAACCTGAGATTTGCCAGGAGAGTCACACAATTGCAAACCATAACCTAAAAAAAACAACTTGGTGGCATTTGAATATATATTTTCCAAAGCAGCTGGATGACTCCTCCATTCATGTGATTTTGCTGCACTCAAGTGGACAAAAATGTAAATACATGTGGAGATTCATCACTTGCCTACATTAAGATACCTCATAAAATACTGAATTTTCCATATAAGTGGATGTAAAAATTCCCATGTAAATCATGTTTTTTTCTTTTTTCAATTCTATTTTTTTTAGAAATTGTTTGTTTTAAATAAATGACTTAAAGTACTCATATTACGTTTGCAAAAGCGAGAACAACGCGAGTCTCGCGATATTTACTACCGGGGTCAAAGTTAACTTTGGCCATGTGTTTATGTTGCCGCATCTATTACAGCACTCTTAGACACAGCTACAGTTTGCATTATATTTACATACATTGATGAATTTTGCAAGGCAGAGTTACGTCTTTAGGAGACTTTATATTTCGTAACCGGAAGTTGGTTGTATCTGAATATTCCGCTCCGCGTTAGCTTCCGTAGTTCAGCTGACATGCCAGTCTGCATCCTTTAGCTGCATGATGGCTTAGCGTGACATGTTTAAAATCCGACCGCTGTTGAGTGCCTTAGTTAACAACAGACTGACGTTAGACAGAAACGGTAAGCGAACATATCCAAGACAACGTGCCGGTGAACGCATTCGGTGTGCAAGCCGTGATTGCGTGTGTTCCTGCTTTTTTTTTTTTTTAAATACCCTTTTTGTCCGCAAGATTTATCTCCTTACCGTGTTCATGTTTGTGCAACATGTAATGGCGTCCTTCGTCACAATCACAGCTAACCTTACAGAACAGGACATGTAACTCACAGGGGATCCTGATCACGGATTGGGGATCCTGATCACGGATTATTTCTTGGTCTCTCCACAGGTGGCCCTTGGAATTCGCTTTGCATGATGAGTGAGGGCTCCAGGGATGAGCAGACAGCCAAGCTGCTGAAAAGAGCCAACGAGGAAAACGAGGACTCTGCTGAGAAGGTGCAGGCTGCAAAGAAATTAAAAGCAGAAGAGGAAAAAGCTGAAGATGAAAAGAAATATCCCAAAAAGAAAGTGGTACTCCTTGTGGGATACTCTGGAAAGGGATACTATGGCATGCAGGTTCGTACTCTAGCTGATTCTCCTCTCCTACACTTTTTTTTTTTTTTTTTTTTTAATTTTTACGACTTGCTAAATGTGTTTTTTGTGTTTCAGAGGAATCCCGGAACCTCTCAGTTTCGGACCATCGAGGATGAACTGGTCACTGCACTCATTAAATCCGGTTGCATTCCTGAAAACCATGGCGATGAGATGAAGAAGATGTCTTTCCAAAGATGTGCCAGAACAGATAAGGTATGAGTCTGTGCAGACATCCCAGAAGGAGTACCTGTCATAGCACAAGGCCAACACGGCCATTTTTAAAAGTGAAATATTCACTGTATTGTGAGTTTGCATGCGTCATTATTATTGGTGTGTTTGTTCAGGGTGTGTCTGCTGCTGGCCAAGTGGTGTCTCTAAAGCTGCGGTTGATTGAAGACATCGTTGAAAAAATCAACGAGCATCTGCCACCGCAGGTCAGAATCCTCGGTGAGACATTGGTTCTAATAATTACATTTTATTGATTGGAATTTGAGATGATTTTTAACATTCTGCAATTTTTTTCTCTTCCTTTTTGTTCCAACAGGTCTTAAACGGGTGACCCAAGGTTTCAATTCCAAAAACAACTGTGATGCTCGTACATACGCCTATATGCTTCCAACAGTGGCCTTTTCCCCAAAAGACTATGATACTGGCGACATAGCAGCCTTTCGCCTCGAGCCCGGGACACTCCAGAAGGTGAACGCTCTGTTTGCTCTCTACAAAGGCACCCACAACTTCCACAACTTCACCTCTCAGAAGGCTCCAAGCGACCCCAGTGCCCGCCGCTACATCATGGAGATGTCTTGCGGAGAGCCTTTTATCAACAGCAATATACAGTTCGCTGTGATCACTGTACGAGGCCAGAGCTTCATGCTGCACCAAATCCGGAAGATGATCGGCCTGGTGATTGCGGTGACGAAGGGCTACGCGAAGGAGGAGGTGGTGGAGCGTAGCTGGGGACACGATAAGGTGGATGTTCCCAAAGCTCCGGGACTGGGCTTGGTCCTGGAAAGGGTTCACTTTGACCGGTACAACAAGCGGTTCGGCGGGGACGGTCTGCACGAGCGGCTGGATTGGGGCGGCGAGGAGGAGGCCATCAAGGGCTTCAAGGAGGCTCACATCTACCCCACCATCGTTGAGACGGAGTGTCAGGAGGGCTCTATGGTCAGCTGGATGTCCACACTTCCCATCCATGACTTTAAAGCTACAGCCTCAGCTACTGACGCACAAGACAATAAGGACCAGAAACAGGTATCTGGAAGCCACCATAGAGTAATAATATGTACTGAAAACCATGATGTTTAAAATAAATCATTTTGTTCATTGTTGCTCTCTCCTTTTCCCCCAGGACAACGCAGATTTAAGAAATGACTCGGATTAGGTCACTCTGCCAGCTGAAAGAAGAGATGTTTTCAGAACTAAATATTCTCTCTTTTGTTGGGAATTAGCTTTCTTTTTATTATATCTTCCAAAATTTACTTTTTTTTTGTGATATTAAATTCTGCTTCTCTTATACAAATGTTATTAAACAAACAACAACAAAAACCTCTGTTCTTTATTGTACCCTGAGTGTTTCCTGGTGTTAATTTGTGCCTGGATCATGCCCTCAACCAATGTGTCTCAGCTCCATTAGTGTTGGTTGTTTAGCTGTTTGAGTCTTTGTCTTGTAAGAAGAATCTTAAGGATAGGTTTGGATTTTTCGCAATGCAATACTGACATTCTTATATGCACTTCACCTCAACTCCACTGTAAGATTTGGGACAAAATCCACTGTCCAGCTCCCACGCAAGAATGTAGTTTAAAGATCAGCTGTAGCTAATATGAGGGTAGCTAAATCAAGTGTCTATATTTTGCAAGATCTTAGTGAGCAGTTATTTATTTGGCCTTGTCTCTTTAAGTTCGTAAAGCCAGTTAATGCTTTTTGTTGAAAGTTATTTACCAATTGGCGTTGGTAAGATCATTGTGAAGCAAACCTTAGATTGTGCTAATAAAACTAATAACCGTCGGAATGGAATGAGACTTATTTATTTTCAGTCCATTTTTCATGTATTGAGCTAGGAAAGTCAACATCACAAATGGTATATAGCTTTTATTTCATAGTTGCAGGAGCAGTGAAGATGATGTTTACATATGGGACAGAATCTATTTGATTAGATCATACAGTTATTGTATTGTATGGAAAAAAATCATGTTTTGATCAGAAAAGTAATGTGTCGACAGAACTCGGCTGAGAGTCACTAAATGTGTAATAAAATGTGTTTCATCTGTACCCTAGCAGTGGTTTGGTTAGTTTGTGTTAAAACCGAAACCAGGACTTCAGCCTCCCGTCACTAGGAGGCGACACATCAGTTGAGTGGTCAAGACTGGTGCTGCATTCACTGACCTTTGGAGTTATAGGAAAGTAGACCTTTCTCAAGTATGTTTGCCGCCCGTCTATGCACTATATTCGTATATAGTATATTTATAGATTACGTAATTCCTTGTATGGTGATATTAACAGACGTTACTGTAACTATTTTAAATTATTCACAAACAAAATTTCTAGGATGTTCACATGGAAGTTCCAGGATGTTTGTAGTAATATCTTTCATGTTTCATATTACTACAAAGTAACTTGAACGCAGCATCACCAAATAATCATGGCGCCGGCCAAAAGACGCAACGTGATTTCGGCGAAAACATCAGAACAAAGTGGAAAAAGAGCTAAAATTGACCTTAATACCAAAGTTGAAAATGTACTTGAGAGTAGAAAAAATGCCAACGACGTTTTCGACATCCTCGAGTTCCTTGAGGTGAATATACGCAACTAAGTAACGCTGTTGTAGGACCCAGCTGAATACATGCTGGTTAGCTAGCTTTATTGACACCAGGTAGGATGTTAACGTGCTTCTCTTGGTTACTAACACCATACACTGCACGTGTGTTTTATTCTCCATGTCCGTTTGCAGTCAGAAAAAGAGAAAGATGTTGTCAATGCCGCCAATGCCTGCAGCAAATTGTTCTGCACCTTGTTGGAGAAGAAAGAGCTGTTTTTGGGGAAACTGCCTGGAGAGGAGGAGGAGGAGGAGGAGGTGGCGGCGGCGTTGAGTGGTGAGTAACGTTACTAGGTTAATAATAATAACTGTACATTACAATTAACCCTAGTTACGAGGTAGATGGTCACACATATATTTATATGTAACGTTATATGTGTATGTTTTCTGTTTCAGGTGGGTTGAGTGCTGAAGAGAAGTACCGCATGTTCATGCGACACCGATACAACAGCTGTGTGGAGATGCTGCTTGAGCACCTCAACCATGAGCTTCATGATGTGAAGGTGACACACACACACACACGCACACACACACACACACACACAAAGAACCATGCTGCTCTTACTGTAAAAATGTGATTGCAGATGAAAAGGAGAGTCAAGTAATTTGTGTACTGTACATTGCATACCAGCTCAGGCCTGCCAACGCTATTCGTTGTTTAGTTGTTATCTTTCCGATGTTGCATTGTCTGTTTTTTAATTGTTTTTAATACAAACTGTCTGAATACAGGAGAGTGCTCTGTGCTGCCTCATGAAGTTTGCTGCAGGAGAAGGACATCATCCACTCCAGGACTTAGACTGGAGTGAACACTACAGCTTCCCCAGAGAACTCATCCAGGTAAGATGTCGTACAACCTGGTCGTCAGTGGTGGGAATATGAATATACTTTATCTGTTCCTTTGTGTGACTTCCCCATTTTGTTTGCCAAGACAAGAAATAAGGCAGTTATTCTTTTTTTAAATCATCCGACCTTTTTGTCAGGCGCCTTCTGATGTTTTCTATTATTTCATCATCAGGCAGTGGTGGACAGACTGCTGACCAAAACAACAGACAACTACTTGCTGATCTCCAGGTTCTTCGAGTTCCTTGAGATGGAGGACGTACGCTATTATGTCATGAGTTCCATCCGTGAGAATGTGGCCAAAGTCATGAACAAAAACAAAGGGGTAGGGGGCACTTAGTTCATCTGCTGTTGCTGAGCTTGTTTATTACTTTCCTTGTCCCATTTTTCTTTTATTTAGTAAATATTACTCGGTGCGCTGAATGCTGTGTGCTTGTCTTGTTCCTCTCAGGCGTTGGTGCCTGTGTATCAGAACAACGTTTTCACCCTCATGTCCAACATCGGCATGCCAAGCCAGGAGTCGGAGCTCACCAACTTCATGATCAAACAGGAAGGTGAGACCTGCTTGTTGTCAACGCCACAATGTTGCAGAGTTAGTTTCTTCTGTGTGGGGAGAAGAGGCTGTTCTTGTTAGTTTTGTACATGAATGCTATTTTTTACATGTCATTAATAAACTGATGTTTTTTTTTTTTCTAGCCAAGCACGAGGACTGGAAAGCTGCTAAGCTGAATGTAAGTACAAATGTTTTTAATCCACCGTTAACATTTCTTAACTTAGATATTTCCCCGAATATGATTTTAAATGTTCTACTTCACAACAGGAACACAAGCGTGCCTTTGAGAGGATGTGGCTGGGCTTTCTCAAGTATAAGGTATTATAGAAATCGTGACTGCACAATCTAAATGTTTTTTATTAAAATGTATTCACTGTGCCATCTCATCTCTCTGTTGTAGCTGCCAAGCAGCATGTATAAAAAGATCTTGGTGATCCTCCATGTCTCCATTTTGCCCAACTTGAGTAAACCCACACTGATGATCGACTTCTTGACCGCGGCCTATGAAGTCGGTAAGTTGTGCGTGTGGCTCAGTGGTGACAGTACTTCAGCATCTTCATGTGACAATGAATGCTTTAAAATAACCATGAGGGTATTATTTTTTTACATAGGGCGATGCTGGTAATCCTGATATTTTGTCATGTTTTTGTTGAACAGGTGGGGCTATCAGCCTGCTGGCCCTCAATGGGCTTTTTGTCCTCATACATCAACACAACCTGTGAGTATTACATGAAAAAAACAACAATTAATTTGGCTACTTTAAAAGTCACATTAATGACAGTAACATGTTGAAGAAACATGAGGCTCTATTCTGAATCTATAAAGGACAACAGTAGACTGAAAGATGTTTGAATTGCATAATTACTCTACTATATGTTGTGTGTGCTTGCAGAGATTACCCGGATTTCTACAAGAAGTTGTATAATCTGCTTGAGCCTTCTGTTTTCCATGTTAAGTACAGAGCGCGCTTTTTCCACCTAGCTAACCTCTTCCTTAGCTCCAGGTAAGAACATTCATGCTTCACTAAAAGTGTTTAGGGAGAATGTGATAATCTGATTTAAGGTGACTGTACGACCATGAAAATCTCAAAAAGCTTATATATTGCATTGGTAACATTTGCTGCATATGTGTTTGTGCCTTCCTCCAGCCACTTGCCAGTGTACCTCGTGGCTGCGTTTGCCAAACGCCTGGCTCGCCTGGCTCTCACAGCGCCGCCTACAGCCCTCCTCATAGTGCTGCCCTTCATCTACAACCTGATCCGGCGCCACCCGTCCTGCAGAGTCCTTATTCACAAGCCCAGCACACAGGATGGTGAGCGGCAGTCACTCTCTTTTTGGTTGTAATTTCATCAGTTTCAAAATGTCAGGGGTTTTAGATTGCCAGTCCGATTCGTTATATTTAACACAGCTTGTATGAATTTTTACTGTGATGCACAATCCAAGGAAGCATGTTAGGATACATGTAGAGGTTTGTTTCTATTCATAATGACAGAGCCCGTGGAGGACCCGTATCTAATGGACGAAGAGGATCCTGCCCAGTGCCGTGCCTTAGAGAGCAGCTTGTGGGAGATTAAGGTGTGTACAGCATGGGATGGTTTTGGATTCCCAAATAAATCCTCCATGACACTGAATTTAACTGAGCCATGACTTGTGACAGCCAAGGGTTTTGATTGGAAAACAAGATGAAGGAATATCATATATATTTAGGAATCTAACTTAATGGAAGCATACCTCATTTTCAATTATTTTCTTCTCGTGTCCTGCAGACACTGCAGAAGCATTACCATCCAGATGTGGCCAAAGCTGCTGGGTCCATCAACACACCTCTGTCAGGAAAAGAGGAGGACATCAACGAGGTGCTGGAGATAACAACATATGAGGTAATGTCACACTTTAGATAACAGTTACTCACTATTGTCTATTGGTACATAAATAAACTAAATGGAAGCTAACTAATAAATGCTAATACTCCTCCTCATATAGTCATTTGAGTAGCATGAATAATGTGTCCCATGTTCTTATCCCTAGCTGATGGAGAGAGACCTGAAGAAATCTCAGATCAAGACTGTCCCTCTGGAGTTTGAAACAGCCACACAGTTACTAAAAGGAGGGGGAGATGTGTTAGGACAGCACTTCTGTCTGGATTAAAACAAGAAAAAATGAGCGACCTGCATTCTTACACGCTATACAAATCTGGGACCAGTTCATCTGTCAAGGTGACCGTTTATAGCCGTTTGGCCCGGACAGGAAGTGAGAACAAACTTCTCTTTGAGACCAGCAGCAAGAACAACATACATGCGTTCAACCTGGAGTTGTGTTTTTGATGTTTTTCTCCATGACTATTGATGTCTTTGATGTGTAACTATCGTGTATCAGTAAAATCATGGTGAATAAATCTCTTGGTTTGTATTTGGCATGTTTTTGGGACTTTTTAAAGAAATTGGTTACAAATTAATGGGAAGCTGAAGGTTTTTCTCCCACTTTAATTTCTGTACAAGTTTGAGTATTGTATGGCCTAAATTCTCATTCATGGAGTTTTCCCATGTTATAAAGTAGTTTTTTCTGAATCGGGGCCAAAAGATTCAGCACAGATTGTAAAGCCCCTTGAGGCTAATTTGTGACACTGGGCTGTATAAATAATATTGACTTGACAAAGACTAACAAACTTTCCAGCTCTACAGTGCTTAGTAGCCTATTTTTAGTGTTGAGGAGTTCTCCTGTCCTCAAGTAGCCAGGAAAACAAAAGCCCTGCACAGCCACGCAGGTGTTTTCAATTATCCAGGTTGATTGCACTCAGGTTAAGGGTAGGGGGTCCTGCGCCTTGCGAAGAGCTAATCAGGTAAAGTGAAATGGACCAGGTGTGTGTTTAGGGTGCTTTCTGTTGTACAAATCAACCCGTGTCTTTAATGTGTTGCCGGGAAGTATCGGGGTCACGCTTACGTTATATTGGACCTTTAACGTTAGCGCTACACAAGCACGAGGTCAGGTCTGTCCCCATATGTGCGAGGTTAGCCTTAAATGCTCTTTGCCCGTCACCAGTTCATATTTCATGTTCTCGTTAAGTGTGCCATATGGTCAAACAGCAGGCAGAGAAAATGCTGAATCATAACAGATTCTGTGCGTAAAGAGCAAGCCATGTCAGGTGTAAAGCTGTCCCAAACGCGTAATGTTACTTACAGACGGACATGCGTATGTGTAGTGCAGCGATACACAGCATCCATGCATGTTTTATTTTTATTTTTTTAATGTTTTTGAAATGTTTTGAGGATTTTAAGGATTATTATCGGGAAGGTGAGAAGCCAAAAGAAAGGAAGGTCACTGTGAACAGGATGAGGGCAACCGACCTGCTCACATGGATGGGTAAAATGCAACCTTTCAAAGTTATTAGTGACAGTTTTTCCCCACCCCCCCCCAAAATAGGATTTTTATTAACATTTAAGGTTTACAGTGTTGCAGGTGCAACATCATGTTCTTAGATATACGTTGTCGTTTTTTAGCAAACTGCAATCTTATGAAGTTTTTCTCCAGTTGCAGAAACTCCTGCACTGCAGACAAAGTGCATGCATTATAATCTTTAGATACATGCAGAGCTCCAACACCATTTAAAGCTATATAAAATATATATTTTAAAGAGGAACTTTTTTGTTTGTAATAATGTCGTAACCCCATAACTGAACTCCGCGTGTTTCTAATTGGGAATGTGCTAAAGTTTTAATAGCACAACAATAATGCTCAGAATTAACTACATGGCATCACAATAGTAATGCTCTTCTTCAGAGGGAGGTGACATACTTACGACAAATGATTCATAGTAATGGGCTAATAGAATAATTAATAGATAGATGGCAAATGAAAACCCCCATTCAGGCCTGGAGCCTGGCACGCACAGCACCCTCCTCTTGCTTTAATACATCTGTGAGATGCTTACCACTGCAGCTTCATAGATGGCTTGGTGGGATGGGACATTTCTGCATAAATCTGCAGGACTCCTGAGCTTCGTGATGTTGTTGTTGTTTTGTCTGTCCTCGTCCAGCAGTCCCCTGCAAGGAAATAGAAGCTGTCCAAGGTGAGTCGGCACAGAGAAGCTGTTTGAGCAGTTGGCTGAGGCTTTAAGAGAGACCGGGGAAGAGGGAGCTGATTCATTTGACAGTATTTATTTTTTTCTAAGAAAAAACTGGTCGAAAACAAATCACCCGTATTTCTTCTTTTTCCGTCGGTTGTCTGTTGTTGATAGTATCCCCCCCAAAAAAGCACTTTGAGTATCACAATTTTGTTTCATTACTGTGATCTTGTTCTGCAGTTGCTTTTGTTCAAAAGACATGCATTAGTCTAAAAGACAGAATGCAGATGACTGAAATCAGTTTGAGTATTTATTATGATGCAGCAGTAGAGTCAGATAAATCCAATCTCCTGAAGCAGCATTAACCTTCTTAACCTTCCACGTGTCACTATATAGTAGTTTATATGGATACAGTGCGCGCATGCATGCATGTATGTGTGTGTGTGTTTGCGTAAAGGTACAAAACAGGAAACATAGATGGGGATTTAGCACTGACTGATAAAATCTTATGTTTTTTCCATGCTCCCCCCTGTCATTGTGTTGCTGTGATACAGTAATCCTCTGTTATGTAACCGAGTGTCTGTCTCTCTCTCTCTCTCTCTCTCTCTCTCAATGAACACACTCAAACACATGCACATGGGTACACATACTGTATGTACAGTATATATCAACCAGTCAGCACCTACACATGCATGTCGACGTACTGATGCAGGTGGCATGCACTGTTTAATTGGACATTGTTGCTGTCAGGGATCGACTATATACTTGCAGTAACAAACAAGTTATGTGTTTTTAAATGAAAGAAGATGAAGGAATTGTACAGTAAGTGTCATGAAACGTTTGCATTCTTTTCTGTGTTTATGTTTGCATGTGCAGTTGTACATTTTTGTTTAAAGATGATGTAATGACATTGAATTGTCGAGCTATTTACTTGAAACTGCACACGAGTAACAGTTTCTGTGTGTACATCTGCTTGCAGTACATTTATTTTGTACGCATTCAGTTGTATGTGTTGGTTTTGTTTGCGTGCGTGGTTCAGTCAGTGTATGCTTGAGGTTTGCAGCGTGCGTAATCTCTTGGTCGTGTGGGTTTTGCAGGTGATGCGGGATCACATGTCCGGCGCTAACATGGAGGAGCTGCTGAGGCGGTCTCAGGTGGAGTTACAGTGGATCCAAAGACAGCTGGCCATGATTGCTGCCAGAAACATACAGCATCACCTCCTGCACACCAAGGGCAAGGTATCTGTGGTACCACGTACTGTAGGCCTGTGTTGCTGCTACTACTGCTACGACATGAAAGCACTACTAGGAGGGGGAAGTTTGCCCACTAACACTAATTTATACTACTAGTCATGATTAAATGATCCTGTTATCAACATAAAACAGGCCTCCGCTGTTATTAGCCCACTTGGGAGGAGGGAATCTGGGGATAAAGCACCACATTTATGGACTGTCCTTAGAAAAAAGGAACATCTGCTCAACCTAATCTGATAGATCTTCATTACACGTTATTATAACGCAACATTTGATGATGCTTTTAGACTTTCCTCCGCTCTTCATGATAGACTTCCTGTTGCAGTCTGTCAACCACCTTCTCCAAAAGACTCTTTAGAACACAGATGTAGGTCTTTGCAGTGGCATTCATTGTGATGTGAAATCTTTTAGTTTAACAAGTCAAACTTTCACCTAATATTTAGCCCTACACTTGAATTCTTCAAGCTCAAAAAATAGAAAATCTTATCACTGGGAAGATCTATTTTCTGATCTGTAGAGCACACAAGCAGAACAAGAAGTTTATGAATTTTAAAGTTGAGAGTTTTGTGTTTTTGACCACAAATCCGTTGTTTTCAATAATCCTTTACCTTATACGACCCTAACAAATGAACAACTGTCTGCTGCCGTGGTTTTAAATCTTCCTATACTGGCCTGCCTTGTCCTGGTTTAGATTGTAAAAGGCATTTCAATCCTTGACTGATATTCTTCATGGGGATAAAAACACAAAAACAGAAGCATTGCAGTGGCTCAATGAGAAGAACTCAGGCCGTGAAGTGAAATATCAAATAAGCTATTTTCTTTAATATTTCACAATACATGCCCATACAAAGTCTATTTTGTTAGCTTCCTGGAAAACGTACCATATGACGTGTGTCAGCAGGTGTAGAGAAAGTCTTCAACCGATAACATCATCCCACATGTTTGGATTTTTCCTTTTATTCCATATGGCCAGAAGAGGACAGCATGCTTCTTAAAAAACACCCATATCAAACATTAAAACTTGAGAAGAAAAGCCCGGCCACAGCATGCTGTAGAGGTAGCAGCTTGTTGTGTATTTAAATGACACGTTGCCTTCAGCTATTTGCATATTTAAAGGAGTCATTGCATATTTCTGCCCGATCCAGTTTCCATCTGTTCCTGAACCCCAGTCTCACAGGGCTTCATGTCACGCGCGAAAAACCATTTCACTACGAGAGCAACACGTCTACAGTAAGGATGGAAGCGAGCGTTGCTAGGCAACAGAGTGGAACAAAGAGTACGTTCTGCTTCCTCTTCTCACTCGCGCACACTTAGTGTCTCCTTTCTTTCTGTCCTCTCCTCCGTCCTGTGCCTCCGTTCCAGTGTTAAAACGGAGAACACCTATCGACATAATACATTTGAGTGCCTGCTGCTGATGCATCCTCACTAAAACCACCACGCTGATTCAATTTGAGTCCTCCGATCGGGGATTTAGAGGAGGTGAAGAGAGCAGATGGACGGTTGTATCTGAGGTCTGTCCAGGAACATTAAAGTGTAGATTGGATTTGATGCTGGAGGAAAGTTGCAAGTAGTAATACCGAGCAAACGTTAAACATGTGATATATATATATATATATATGTGTAAATCTGGAGTGATGTATGCTTTGTTGCTTCTGTCAGCAAAACAGAAAACCAGATGCAGAGGAAACAGGGATGCTGGACCATTATCTACTCTGCTTGGGAAATCTATTCAGAGAGGACAAAATGCTCATCTATGATGTAATGATTTACACATCACTGCTCAACAGATGTACAAATTACTTTTAAATGAAAGCTGCCCCGCATGTCTTTTTTTCTCTTCTTTTTTCTTGCCAGTGTGACATTGTTTTGGGGTGTGCACATGTCTGCGTATGGGCGAGACGGAGAGCAAAAAAGGTCAGAGAGGGGGGGATTTTAAAGCACGACTGGAGGAAGAAGCAGAGAGCGCGAGAGGAAGCGTGAACACATTCAGGGGTGGGACTCAGGGAGTGTGTATGTGTGTGTGTGTGTGTGTGTGTGTGTGTGTTGTCTGAGAGTGCCAAGCTACTATAGCTTTTTTTTTTTTAGCTTTCACTGATCGGGTGAGACCTCCAGCCTGTTACAGAACAGGCAAGCTAGTGGAGCCGCAGATCTGAAACACTCATTCCAAAATGCGCGCACACAGGCACTCATGCACCGGCAAACACGTGCATGCGCGCGAACGCGTCACCTCTGCCTCCACTGCCAGCCTGTGATGTGACGGGAAGAGAGTCATTTTGGGACATTAGCGGCACTGCTTTGAAGGTAGGGACATTGTCAATGTTTGTATCAGCAAAAACATACATGTCTGTCCACGCTGCTGTCCCGTTCCCTTGTTTAGACTGTCAGACACTGTTGATTTTCTTAAACTCCAAACACACACATTATGTGCTGGATGCTGCTGTGATTCTGAGAGGTTTAATGCATTCTGGGATAACACAGGACAACATGTATTCTCTTCATGAAGAGCAGTGATAAGTGTTTGTGAATGATACTGAATTATTTATCTCCTGAGCAGTTGACGCTGCTAGATTCATAACAGTCTGTCTAAATCCAAATCCAAGTGCAACACATTCACAACAACACTTGTGCTGGAGAAGAGTGGCTTGATGGGCTTGAAAAGACAGATTTTTCTCTTTGTGAAAAATCCATTTAATGACGGGTCAATAGCTGTACATCCATGGCTGACTGCATCAGGCAGCCCGGATGCAAGTATTTCACTCACACACCAGATGGCGATGTGACAATCCATTTAAATCACACCCCAGTCAAAATAAGATTACCTCGGGGTATCCTGGCGGGTCGGTTGGCTGAGCACACGCCACTTAACCACAATGCCCTTGGTTGGAAGCCAGCCACCACATGCTGCTTTACTAACCCACACTAAAGCCACGATTACATAATTATATGCTGACACATCTTAAAAGCTACCCACATTTTCTGCTTTGTTTAATAAACAGTTACCCCAGCCTCCAGTTTTATATAGATAATCCTTTTGCCCATCATTGGTGTTGTCTACGGTTCTGTGCAGGTCGGGCAATTCACAGAAAGTGAAGCTCCCCGAATGTTTAGTTTTTTTCAAGAAATGTGTCCATGAACCTTTCATTGAGTGACGACTCTGTGCTGCCTCTGTGTAAGTTCAATTTAAACTCCCTTTTGACCTCAAGTTTCTGCTTCGCTCTGCCTTTGAGCTGTGCACTGACTTTGACCTTTTGTATTGTGATTGGTAAACACAAAAGGAATTTCCTTCTTTTGATGAAGGAAAAACAAACTGCATATAATTTAGCATATAAACTGGTTAAAACGTTTTATATTGTGTGTCACTGAAATCAACAATAGCAGATGCAACCTTTGATTATCAACCTAGCGACTGAATGAAGGTGAAGTACACTGATAGATCATTAAATGATACTGGGAAATACAGACATCACCTTCACCAGTAGTTGCCGAGCTATTCCTGTCATTAGGGTTATCGAGCAACATGTGGTTACATTTTCCTTATCGTAGACTTCCTCTGAGCACTCTATGCCTGGATTTTGAGATACGACAGAAGGGGCATATACTGCTGAGGAGAGGTTACCTCAGACATTTTTCACATAGCTTTTGCGAGCACTAGTAGGGCTTGGAAGTCAGTTTAAGAGCACGGTTTTAGGCCGACAAGTCCACTTGATATTTCCTTAGTGCTGTCTTACCTCCAGTCAAAACTTAATTTATTGCTTGAGTAATCTTTTACCTTTGACTGACCCCTTGAGATGGACTAGCTTTATTCAATATGATTAAAAGACATAAAAGAGGAAACAAGCAATTTTAGGTACAGTGCTTGGCTTGGATAATAGCGGCTTATGAGACGTAACAGATTTAGACAAACACTTGTAAATTATTATTCTGTCTTTGTGTGTGTTATCCACTGTGATGAATATAAAAAGGAAGAGAAACACTATTTTTGCTTAGTGTGCTGTCTTTCTCTTCTGATAAACGGTGTCGCATCCTTCCGCACATCGTCGAGCTACTTATTTACGCACTATTTATATTGGTATCTTATGTTCATCCACAGTGGTCTATGAAAGACAAACAGAAAATGCAAAGAACCGCTGTTCCATCATAATGAATGAATGAATGCCAAATGTTGAATCCACATTGATATAAAAAGGCTGCCATTCAGAAAGTGTGTGACACGGCCCACCTTTGGGAGTGAATGCATGTCCCCCGAATGTCTCTCACTTTGTCCCTTTGAATTCCTCCCCTCCTGGCTCACATTTAGCAGGAGATGTCGTCAGTGTTCCTTGTGGCCCCCAGAGCGCACGAGTGCGTCATGACTCCCAACTCTGACGCAGCTCCTGTCAGAGCAGCTTTGGCAGCTCCCTCGGTACAAGGATGATGTCTCCCAAGTGGACGGCACAGCTGGGACAGTTGGGACAACCTCTGTTGTCCAGATGACTGACTGATTTGGGGACCGAACTAATCACGTCTCAATTAGATGTCTCGACCTGGCATTGATAAGTGTCGACGAGTACCATTAATCTGCTCCAGAGCCCAGCCAGCAATAATTTTATAATTTTATAATAACCAGATGTTGTCGGGTTACCAAAGTGATAACCTGTTTTTTTTTTTATTTGTTCTTTTTTCGAGAGCACATTCAGTTTTTTTTTTTTTTTTTTGCACCAACGGTTTTCTGGTCTAAATGACTCATGCATCAGTTCTCACACAGATGTCCATATGGCCTAATATCTCACTCTAAATAGGCTGACTGAATGTGTTAGTCTGTCTGTCTGTTTGGAAAACACAGTACTGGTTGGCAGGTCTATCTGTCTCTCTGTCTGTTCTTGGAAAGTCCACCGTATTACACTGGTGGGTCTATCTGCAGGCTTGTCTGCTTGGCAGGTCTGCTGTATTAGCAGGTGTATCTGGCTGTCTTTCTGTCTGCTTGGCAGGTCCATTATACTGGCTTTGGTAGCTTTGGCTGTTATCTGTTAACAGACATATTGCCTGCAACTTTGCTTTTTGTCTTTGTGGAGGATGATAGTCTAGCTTGCAGTCGGGATACGGTTGTTATTTTTATGCGAGTTCTTTTATGTGCCTGACAAGATGCCAAATGCTCTGCTTACACGCTAATTGATATATCAGAGTTATATTAACCAATATTAGAACCATCTGTGGGTTGGTCTGTTCTGTGGGTTTCTACAAGGAGAAAAGTGCTTTAAGAGAAGAATTGGCATATATTGTCATCTCTTCCTTAATTATCCTCCAAGTGATAATTTAAATTTTAGAGGGAGAAAGCAGAGATAAAGAGAAAAGTGAACAGACTTCAGAGTAATGCAGCACAGATTTCTTTTGTCTAGGGTGGTAATGTTTTCCCTTTTATAGCTCTGGTAATATTGGAGTGGCTGGGCTGGCTAAGTGTGCTTTTTCAGAAGGCAAATGGGAAGACTACACCCCATTTGGGATTTAATGATTGTAGCTCTCCAAAATGTTCCCGTTTCATACTTTTACATTACTAAAAGTAGATATTCTGGAGCAGAGCATCAAATCTGTTTTTAGATTAACTCATCGGGAAGAGTTCTTTCATCTGACACAAAATGGAGCAAAAGGCATCCTCACATCCTTGGAGGGTGTTTAACTTCAGGGGGCACGGGCAGAGTGTACATGCACTTATTCTATATCAGCTTCCCTCCTTACCTCGGCCAAACAGCTGCTCAGTTCCTCTGCTATCTGCAGCCCCTCTGGTGGCCTCAAAAGTCATTGGAAAATTTAAAAAGTACAAGATTGGCAGCAGAGCAGTTCTATTCCAAAACAAGACAAAACGTTTTTTGAGTCAACAATTATCAAATTGTACACATGGATGTCTGGCGCGAAGGAAAGCTGAGCAATACCAGAAACTATTCACCACTCCAATCTGCCCATTACAGATATGCAGTTTATTTCCATGGAAGGTCCAAGCGTCAGAGTGAAAATTCACTTTCAAAGGCCATTCTAATCCATCAAGAAAACTTCTAAGGAGAAAAACACTGACTGGCAAATCCAGCTGAGGCTCAAAACCTGTTGCAGTAGCAGCTTCATTTTCAGGCCTGGTAATCCTTTTCCTGTGACTGACCCCACGGGATGGAACTAAAGCCCGAGTACGTCGCTGTAAGCAAGATTGACAGTAGCCTTATGTCTTCTTCCATAACTTATATTAATCAAGTGGCCGCTTCCTCCTTATGTATGCTTTTCATACCCACTAATTGCCCTGTCTGTTGTTCAGGTGGGCGGCCTACCACTTTGGTCTAGATTCCTCACCTACTACTGGATTGGATTGCCTTGTGATTTGGTACAGATATCCATGGTGCCCAGATGAGGTATCCTAAGGATTTTGGTAATTGTCTGGCTTTTTCTGTAGTTCAACCAGCGGGTCAAAGTTTTCATTTATCTTGTGAAATATCGCTCCATATAACCTCTGTAATCCCTCACATTTATGGTTTTGAGTGAAATGGGATTCCCATGAAATTTGGTACACACATTCATGTTAATGTTGGTGATCCACTGACTTCATCTTGCTCCATCATCAGGTCCTAATTTTGATTTGTCCAGTATTTTGGTCTATGAACAAATAACAGCACAACTAATCACGTTCAGCTATACTTATCTTATATGCTAGTTGGCAAGTGCTATGCTAGCATGCTAAACTACGTTGAAGAACATTATACTCACCATCAGAATGCTAGCATTGTCATTATGAGCTTGTTAGTAAGTTGACATTAGCATTTAGCTCAAAGCTCTGCTGGGCCTAAGTGTTAATCATGTTAGATTTGTATATGGTATAGTATAACAGTTACTACTACTCATAATTATAGTAATGACAGAAGAAATGTCTCATACTGTGTTGGGGATCTTTCCTCATTTTTACTTTTTGTCTTGCAGACAAGATATGAAGTTTCATCCCAGCAACCTACCGGGCACTCGGCCTACAATGTGAGCCGCTTTCGATTTCTGGAGGAAAGAAACCGAGCTCTGAAGCTTGAGGTAACCACGCTTCGCCAGGAGAAACAGCAGTATAGGAAAAAGGTACATTTCTCACTTCCACTACACACAGACACACACATATCTCAGCCCCTCTGCGCTGTTCACTCTCATTATTTTAGATGAGGTTTATTTGCCTGCAAATAAGCACAATATACATATTAACTGATCAGGAATTGAAACTATTAAGATGTGATAATTGTGGCACTGTATGTATGTAGAGAGTTTCGGTGAGTCACTATGTTGAAGTCCCTGTTGCAGCTTTTATTCCTCAAGGACGCAGCTGTGTGTAGCGGGGGTGACTCGCATGACTCTGTGCACATATACTCCCTCTGATTGGTCTTGGTTATGCAGACATGTGGGCATGTGTAATGTGGTGTAAAATAGATAAGGATGGGCTTGCGGTTTGTTGTGTTGTGCATTAGAGTGCGTGCGTGTGTGTGTGCGTATTTAGTTTGCACTGTATGCTTATGCATGCATTTATGTATTTAGTCCTTCGGAAGGCCTCCCCCAGGTGGTCTCGGATGGCAAGGTGTGTGAGCTGTTGTCTTGGCAACACGCCTATTTGCAGAAGTGTGGACAGACTGGCCGAGGGGAACTGACATAACATAATGGCTGCTTCTGTTATAAGCCTCAATGGCTTGAGATTAGTGTCAGTAAAATACAGCGAGACCTGCATGCTACAGTCTGCATTTACAAACGGTTTACTGACAATGGTTCAGTACAGTGAAGCTCTCAGGCTTAAATATTTTGTCACACCACTCATTTGGTTTGTGAACGACAGCATTGTCGCCTTCTCCTCATTTATGTTGTATTGAAGCATACCTCAGTACATGTTTACAGAACCAAAATAATTACTTAAAGTCTATAAGTTGTCGCCTCCATATATGGAAACTAGATAGAGTACAAATGAAAAATGAACCAATGAGAAGAACCTTCACATGTATAACTTTCCCGGGAACCACTGGGTAGTCTCCTTTTAGAGAAAAAGCTGACAAATCACTTCTAAGACAGCCCAATGCTTACTTTTCTTTACCTTTTATATGAACACATTACCACCTTTCTGATCGAATAGCGTAATTTATGGCAACCTGCCCAGTGGGAGGTTTTGTCCATCTTCACAGCCAGAACCTTGGCACGAGACATGTCTGTCACCGTAGCTAACATGCAGTAGTCAGGAACATAACTCAATAATGCCATGTAATTACGTATGTGTTCGTGTTTATGTGCTTTTCATATGTGGGTAGATACTGTTGGAGGTAGTCCAGCTGGGTGCCTGGCAGTCTCTTTGCTGTCACTGCTGACGGCTACACTATCACAGACTGCATCATGGTCATTCATGCACAGACAGACTCAGCTATGGATCAGTTGGACTAAGACAAGCTCAGTCATGAGAGTGGGTTTGCTCATGCAAATAGACTCTCTCTTCAAAGACTTGAGAAGATGGCGGTGTATCACATCCATCAATTTTGACTTTAATGCAAAATGATTTTTCTTTCTTTTCATTCTTTATTAGGTGAAGGAAAATATGGCCATATGATATTTAGAAACAGCCTTTGATGATTATCAAACTCACAGCTACAGGATTAAATGTAGAGGGCGATAGTCAAAAGATGTCATATTAGATCCAGACAAAACACTTGAAGATAAAAGATTAAAAGCTATGTTGGTACAAAACATGCCAAATGTCTGATTAGGCAGCTAGTTATTCATGGTTTACATGGATGGCGTCTTTAATGTCAACTCTATTCTACACAAAATATCAGTTGTTATTGTAAAACAAATCATATATTTTGTCACATATTAGCAGCATGACATAACTTGCCTCTAGCTTTGTTGCACAGGGTGATGATGGGTGCACAACATGTAGCTATTTCTAAATGTTTTAAAATGTACTAGCAGTCACAGGTATGCTCAAAGTCACTATGAGTTTATAACACCTTTTTAAAATTGTTGGCATATGTTTTTGTCTGTATAAAAAAATAGCAAGAAAAGTAAGAACTACCAATTACATATCTACACAATAAAGTGGCTATATTAAAGACATAAAGGGTCATTATGAAGCTGGAGCCATTGGAGCATTCTCCAGGTGGCGAGGATGACAGCACAAAATGAATGCTAATCTGCTGTATGTTTTTAAAAGATGACAGTTTGCTACATGTTTACCATGTCAACTTAAAAGATGATAGCATGTCAGTGTAGTGTCTACAGCTTGTTTTTGCTGCCACCAACGGCATTATCAGGGACTACAGGTTTAAGTGATCTTATGTTTTATGACTAACTCAAATCGTAACATCCCAGAGTGTACACTGTTCTAGCTCAGACAGTTATGTTGTGTATTTAATTTGAGAGAGAGACCACACCCAGATCAATGAAACTTGGTCCCCCTTTTCACTTCATTCCTCTTTTGTATAGTTGGGGAAGGGTGCTGGATCGGGCTGTCAGCTACAGTCAATCCACCGGCGTTCGCTGTTGCATTTAATCCTTGTTTTATCGTTGAGAATGAGGCACTTCAGCTAGATTCTCACATCTCTTGTCTGTTCTTCCAATTCATTTGTTATTTTGCTGCTGAAATGGCACGAAAAAAAAACCCTGAGAGGGTGGACTGCTTCCTTGAAAAAACAAACAAAGAGCTTTAGATCGGTTGCCTGGAAACAATCTGTGATGGACAGTCGGAGAAAGGTACCTTAGGTGAGGAATGACCTTCTCTGTGCAGTGTGGCTGCTGCTAAAAGGCCACAGCTGTCTCCCTGGACACCATCCCTATGGCAACGATTGTGTACCGCTAGCCGCTGGCCCACTCGGATGATAGTCCTCGTGATGACACGGGCTGTCCCACTGCAAAAAGGAGCGTCTAATCAACAACCACTAATAGCCGTGTTGTCTCAGCTGACCCAGTAATCTCCATTTGAACTCATTCTAATCAAAGATGCACAGACAAACCAGGGTTAATAATAGTCTAGTGTAATGTAACACAAACCAGCTGGAATAATACGTACCACCACCCACAGGATACTTGGAAAATTCCCTATGTTTTGACTCACAAGGCTGTTTTAACAACTGGTATTAGACAGGGTGTGTTTAAGCTGAAGTTTTTATTCTTTTCTTAATTGAGTTTATTTCAGACAGTGTCCTTTCAGATGGTTGGAGTTGTCTCTATGTAACGCCATTATCCTCTTTTTCCCGGTCCATTTCCCATTCCTTGTCTTGTTACTTAAGTAAAACTACTTAGAGCTAAGGCATGGCACAATGAGTTTTACCCTTGAGAGGAAATGATAAGAAAAGTGGGAAACATATCTAAGTTTTTTTATGTCTGAGATTGCATTTCAGCTAAGGCGTTCCGTCCCTTTTTCTGTCCACACTAACTGTTTATCTGCATTAACATCATGGCGCAATACTACTCAGACTACAAACAGAAGCCACAATCTTTTCCCGTTTCAGAATGCATTCATATGCAAGCATCTGTTTATAGACAACATTGTAATAGCTCACACGGCCAGCAGTGAAAACATGCTAGCAGATTAGTTTGCTGGTGGTAGTACTGGCTTTGTTGGTCACGTG